TTTTAAGGAAGAGAGTATTCCTAAAAAATAAATCTTTTAAATATGATATTTTATGAGATATTTATGAAAGTTGGTTATTTCTAAAAATACAAATTTCGTAAGAATACAAAAATACTTTGGTGTGTGTTGTTTATAATGGTTTGCAAAAGAATAAGCCTGTATCGGCATTTTCTTATATTGATACCACATGCCTTAAATATCTCATTCACTTAATTATCTCATTCAATTAATTGTTTCATCTATGAATTTTTTTGTTGAGCCTATTAATTTTGGTAAAAAATTTGAAACAACCAAAGTTCATACACGAAACAACATTATAAAATTTAAACATAAATCATTGTTTTTCATCCATAAACTTTAGATAAAATCATTATTTCACTTTCTGGTTTCTTCTTTAAACAACGTGTCCCATATATATATATATATATATATATATATATATATATATATATATATATAGACTTGGGATCATGTGAGACCAGCCTGTTTTCATGAGATCCGTGAGACCAGCATTTTACACTTGAAACTTCACAGCAAAATGTTGTGAAGGTAACTTTTTAAAACCTTCACAGTGTTTTTGCTGTGAAGGTTCAACTTTTTTAAACCTTCACAGCGTTTTTGCTGTGAAGTTTATGTGTAAAAATGTGGTCTCACGGGTCTCACGAAAATAGACTGGTCTCACGTGAACCCAACCCTATATATATATATATGGGGGAAGATCAAATGTTAACCAATAATTTTGTGTTAACTTTGAAAACCATGACAACCAATCAAATTCCATTCTTCTTGTAGGTTTATGTTATGTTCACATTTTAATTACAAAGATATTTCAGTAAATTGATTTGATATGTAACTCTCAAACAATTAATGGGGAGTTACAAATCATCAAATCCCAAAAAATATGCATTTATAATATTAATATTTTTATTTTTTTTAATCTTGATATTCCATGTTTATTGTTTTATCAGTTTTTAATTCGCATAGAAAACACGGTAGTAAAAAATTTCGGTATCAATCAAGCTAATATGGATAAACGCAATGGAATATAAATCGACAACAGTGAGAAGATTAAAATGGTTTATGATGACAATCGGAGTTCGAGGTCGGGAATTGAATAAATTAACCAAAGTGAATGTCTTGGTAATAGATTTTTATTTTTTTAGATTCGTTTTAATCGAAATTATGTTCATTACGATGTGTTGTGTTTTTTATAATTCATYTTGTATTGATAGCTTTTTTTTAATTACTAAAATATGTACCTAAWTCACATGTTCAAATGGAAGTACATGCACGACCCATTTTCATATTGTCATATTACCGACTTTTATGAATCATGAACCATTATGTTCATGTTACTTCTATCGTATGAACACAAGTGTTATTTTGTAAGCTTGATACCAAATCTTTATATTTGTGTAAGTGTTTGCACCCGGTGTTCATAGCGTTGGGGTTATGTGTTCATATATTTTATACGATATGAACAAGGGGTGAACAACTATATAAGATCAGAAACATATATGAACAAGAGGTGAACCTTAAATGGTGTGGATGCAATGCATGTATAAAACTCCAATTCACAAATGATCGCTCATGAATATGTTTATAATGAAAGAACTATTGTTCACAAGTTGTTCATGTCGTGCTCATACTTGTTTTTTTATTTATTTTCTTTCGTATAACAGTTTTTCTTATTATATTCATATTGTGTTCATAAATGCTATGCAGTCCAAGTTCATATATATGTCAAATTTTTGTTCGTATTTGACACAATGGTTCATATATATATATAGTTGTGTTCATATGGTTCTTACATTAACAAAAATAAATTAACAAAAAAATCATACAATTTTTTATATTGTAACTCCCAATTAATTAATGATATGGGAGTTACATAATATTTTTTTACTTAAATATCTTTTTCAACTTTGTTCACTTATCTTTATGAAATTTTAAATTAAAAAAATAAGTTTTTATCATGATTAATCACAAC